CAGTTGGGGGAGAGGGAGATATATATATGGAGATATGTATACATGGGGAGGGAAGAGAGAAGAGGGAGGAGGGGGGAAGAGAGAGAGGGAAGAGAAAGAGAAAGAGCGAGAAAGGAAGAGGGAAGAGTAAGGGGGGAGGAGAGAGAGATGGAGGAGCAGAGAAGCAGGGAAGAGAGAGGGAGGAGAGAGAGGGAGGGAGAGAGAGTCAGAGAGAGTGGTGTGAGGTGGTGGTGCAGGGGAGACCACGCCAGGCATTTTAAGTTTTGGTTTCTCCATTTGCATTTTTCTGCTCCCCACTCCCAGGAATGCTTAGAGCCATAGATTCTCAAGTGACTGTCACAACTGTGCTTCTGCATCTGGGGGAAAACCCCAAACAAGAGTGATTACAACAGGTAAAGGCCATGCAACACGCTCCTGAAATCCAAATGGTGGCAGCAGGCCCCGCCGTTCTGCGCTGAGAAGGGAAGCTGTCTTTGCTCTGAGCCCTCCCTGTGCAGATCAGGGAGTCGGGAAACTGTGGGGTCTGCAGGCCAATGGCCTGGGTCCCAACAGCCCTTCGCAGCACTGTGACTGCCTTAGGCTGCTGGCAATGCCTTCCAGACAGAGACCCCCAAGAACACATCTGTGGGCGAAGAAGTTCACCGCCTGGGCACTTGGGAGTGTGAGGCAGTTCCCTAAGAAGGGTCGGAAGAGACCGGGATTGGGGATAGTGTCAGTGATTGCAGGGCGGGGGGCCAGGAAGTGAGCTTTGCTCTGGGTCAGGTGCTGTCAAAACTTGGGGTCATGCTGTGATTGCTTCCACAAAGACTAGAGTGACGGCGAAGTCTTGTTCATGTTCTGACCTGTCATGGTCAGAGTGGCCTTGTGTGATGTCGGTGTCCTGTGACATTGCTGAAATTGTCTTGTGAAATTGTGGCCTTGTGTTGTTGTAATTGTCTCTTTGACAGGAGATATACCAAGCCAGCTGCGAGGGCCAGGCCAGCCTCTGGGGCCAGGGGCTGATTTTCTCCTCCTCACTGTCTGAGACTTGGCCATTTCACCTGTCCGGTGGGAATAATGAGAGTTTCTGCCTCTTGGATCTGAGGAGGAGCCGGTGAATGGCTCAAGTAAAGTCCTTGCTGCAGCGATGTTAACTCTTATCACGAGAATGGCACACTCGGGGTGTCTCTCACCACCAGGGATTTCAACGAGCTCCCCTGGTCTTTCTCTGATGTCAGAATCTGGGGGTTGTGTGATGTGTGAGCTTGGGAGCACTTGTGTTTTCTGAGACCGTTGTTGCAGGCGGGTTTGTCTGTCTTCGGATACTTAGTGAAGGAAGTAAGTTCATCACGTAGTTGGGTTTGGTAAACTCCTTTTGTACCAAATACCCCAACTACATTCAGGAATGGGGCACTGAACACCGTTTTTTTTGTTTTGTTTTGTTTTGTTTTTGAGACGGAGTCTCACTCTGTCGCTCAGGCTGGAGTGAAGTGGCATGATCTCAGCTCACTGCAACTTCCGCCTCCTGGATTCAAGCAATCCTCCCACCTCAGCCTCCGGAGTAGCTAGGATTACAGGCATGCACCACCATACCTGGTTGATTTTTGTATTTTTAGTAGAGACAGCATTTCACCATGTTGGCCCAGCTGGTCTTGAACTCCTGACCTCAAGTGATCCGCCCACCTCAGCCTCCCAAAATGCTGGGATTACAGGCATGAGCCATCCTGCCTGGCCAAAAGCCAGTTCTTCATGATTATTTTGAACTCTGTGACGATATCCCCTCTCCTCCAATATTTACGTGTTTTTAAGTAAAAGCCGATGTTTCTTAATTAGCAGCAACCAGGAAAAGGAAAATGTCATACATACCTTCTGCTATTTCCTCCTATGGGAAAGGTATCACCCAAAGAACCATCTCTCCATTTCTTTATTACTTGGAAGATCAATTAATTCCCTACTGGGCTCCTCATTTATTTGTCTTGTGATAGTGCATGGCACGTGATAGGAGTCCCGAAGCCCTGTCCCGGTTTTTCATTTATTTATTCCTGGGAGTCTGAGATGTAGGACTTTGCAGTGGCAGGAGTGTTTCAATGTTTGAGAAAGCAAATAATAAATGAAGATGGCTCAGCCTTTGAAAGTGGGTACCTGGGAGGGCAGGAATGGAATCTTTGACCGGCCTCGGCAGCTGCTGTGCTCTCTGCAAGGTCTCCAGGGCGCCCCGCTTCCTTGGCTGTCCCCTAATTCCTTCCCAGCCTCTCTGCTCCCTGCTCTGAGCAACATGTCTCCCGGCAAAACCCCTTTGAACCGATTATTCTCCTGCAGCTGCGGCTACAAAGAACCTTTTGTCTTTTTCTCATTTTACTTTGCAACTTAAGTCATTTATCTTTTCTTCATTTCGTGTTTGTATGTGTACACGCATGCCTGTGTGGGTGCATTATTTTTAAATGGCAGCATTATGAAAAGTAAAGACAAGCTTTTATATTTTTTAGGCTTTAATGCCAAAACAATAAAGAAGTCCCTAGTGGACCCATGGTGAAAAAAAACAGGCACTAAAATGTACATGGTTTTGGAACAAGCAGTTGTATGCTAAGGCTAATAATGGAATTTGTATGTTTATTATTGGTGCAGTGAATAATACTGATTTATATAGCCCGACTGCTTGCCCTCATTAGCTATTCACAGTAGTCTCATAAAGTTTACAGCGTTATCCTGTAGCAATTTAAAATCACACACCAACTCACAGAAGAGGTAGGCAAGGTTTAAGTACATTCACTGCCTCACTTAAGTACAGGGAAAGACTAAGGAATGTCTTCCATCTGGCTTCGAAGCCCTTTTTGATAAATAAGCCCACACGTCATTCATTCCAGAGACCATCCCAAGCAAGTCCAGTTTTATTCCACTTCTTGAAATGTTCTCTTCACAATTTCTAGATTTAAACTTAACCGTACATATCCCTCCACTCCAGGGAACACTGAAGAGTTGTAAAGTTTTTTTTTTCCCATTCCATGTTGGCAGGGTTCTTCCTTCCATCAGGTGGCTGTTTTTTTGGGGGGAGACTTTCATATACACAATAATCATCTTCATACACGTGCTGTAAGAGGCTTCATCACTTGCTGTCCTTTCAGCACCTACAAGGTCATTCACAGGCCATTTACAAAAACTGCCACTTGGCTACCAACGTTGTCCTCTCCTATTACCTTCAGAAGAAGTAATTTAAGAACAGGGAAAGAAACCCATAGCAAACTCAATTCTCTAATAAGGGGCGTATCATCTTGGAAATAGGAAATATAAAAATAAATTTAAGCATGCAAAACGTTCTTGGTGGGATAGTTTATGATTTGAGGGCCTGGATATTAAGAAATGACTCAGACAGCAAACCACCCAACTGGCAGAGAGCTTTCATGTCACCCAGCCCAGTCTGTTGTCATGTTTGCTTGTGTGTGTGTGTTTTAACTGTTAGATGTTCTCATTTATATGCAAACAAGATATGACCTGACCTTATCACTTGAGTGGCTGATGGCAATTTTAATGTTGATGATAGTATACCACTGGCGCAGATTCTACGCCCTAACATTGTGCATTAGCCTCTAATTTACATTCACAGCCCCGCAATTTTCTTCTTAAAAATGCCCTTTTTCTAATGGAGTGAAACCTTGTAGCTTTTCCGTTATATTTTCCATGTATTTTATTTAAGAGAGGCTTGCAGGTTTATTCTGCGTGGAATATTAATAAAGAGAAATCTGACCCCCTTGTTCTGTTCCTGCCCCTCTAACAGCAGTATCTGACATTCTGTTACCTTCAAGCACATTTCTCAAAATGTGGTCTCTGGATTTTTAGATTGTTTCCTGGAAGATGCTGAAAAATTGCGTCAAAAAAAAAAAAAAAAAAGCAAATAGAAGTCTGATTAAGATCAAATTAACAAGGTGATTCATTTTGACCAGGTGCTAGCTGAAAGCTTTCTTTTTTTCCTTCCTCTCTTTACAAGCTCCACCGGTGTTATAATGAAAAGTGACAATACTCCTGGTGGGTAAATTCTAGAAGGCTGATGATGCTTGGCTTCCCAACCAACACTGACATTTTTAGTGGAGAATCATGTTTTTGGCCAGTATTATTATAAGCCAACAACTGACAGATTTAAAAGGTTCTGTGTTTTATAATTTAGTATCTCAGTGGAAATCTGCTTCTTAAATTCTAATGGAAAAAAATCTGCAATAAGCTTGGAGGTTACTTAGAAATCTAGGTCCATAATTTAGTTCTTATAGGTCCAAGGCAAGCAGCCAGTTGCTTGTGGAAAAACAAAGCAAAGCTGTTTTGTGCCTGCATTTAAAACATCTCTGTTTGTTTTGGTGTGTGCTAATTTGTGTTTTCCTTTTTGGTGCAGCAATTCCCATTTTCTTGGCGTGAACAAATGAGACTGGCTTCTGCCATAGTTCTGTTTTGACAGGGTAGAGACTAACATTCTCTTTTTCTTTCCTGAGTGGGGGCACCTGGATATCTCCTTCTTAACGGTATTTATGTATGCTCCCTCTATCCCCTATTGTCCAAGAGGATTTGGAGCAGCTTGAAAAGATATATATTAGCTTTGCGCAGTGGCAGTATCGTAGCCAATGAGGTTCTTCTGAGGCACGATTATTGCTAATTGAAAACTTTTCCCAATACTCCGCCATGACGACTTGAAATATAGTCAGCTTTGGCAATTTTTGACAGTCTCTACAGAGACTAAAAAAATAAAAAAAATAAAAAATTAAAAAAGAAAAGATATAAATACCAGAATGAAATGAATGTGTGCTATAAAGTTTTACACACTTGCCCCAAATCTGGCCCTAAGGTTTTTACTGACCAAGCTGAAGTGTGTGTGTGTGTTTAAAAGGGGAAAAATAAGACAAATGCAACTTCAGTGTATCTATTGGGCCTATTTTCATTAATGATTTGAAGACAGGATCAGGGTGCAAGAGTTCCTGATTTTTTTTTGAATAAGAAAATAGTCCACACATACTCATGGCAAAAAAATTTAAAAGTACAGAAGTACATCTATAGGACACAGTGAAAACCAGGTGACGTTCTGTGGCCCAAGCCTCTCTTCTCAGAGGTGAGTTCTGTTAACAGCTTGGACTGCAGATTTCCAGACTTTAAAAGCAGAAGAGAATAATGTCAAGTGTTAGCAAGGATGCTGTGCGACTAGAATTCTTGCACACTGCTAAGGGGAGCAATACTGATACACCACTTTATTTTTTGAGATGGAGTTTCATTCCTGTTGCTCAGGCTAGAGTACAATGGTGTCATCTTGGCTCACTGCAACCTCCACCTCCCAGCTTCAAGTGATTCTCCTGCCTCAGCCTCCCAAGTACCTGGGATTACAGGAACCCGCCACCACGCCTGGCTAATTTTTGTATTTTTAGTAGAGTCAGAGTTTCACCATATTGGTCAGGCTGGTCTCAAACTTCTGACCTTAAGTGATCCACCCGCCTCTGCCTCCCAAAGTGTTGGGATTACAGGTGTGAGCCACTATGCCAGCCAGGTACACCACTTTATAAACCTATCTACAAAAGCAAAAACAATTACAGATGTTGAGAATGTGTATATGTGTGTGTATTTCTCATGACTTTGTAATTCCACTCCCAGGCACGTGCCCAAGAGAAACTATACAAACCTTTATACCAAAGATGTATGTAAGGTTCATTGTGCTACATTTAAATGGCAAAAATCTGGAAAAATCCAATGTCTATCAATATAGAATAAATGGTGGTTTATTCACACAATGAAATCCTATATAGCAGTGAGAACGAATGAGAATATGACATACCATGCTGGATGAAAGAACCAGACCCATATGGAGCCATATGGTATGTACACAAAGTTGAAACCAGACAAAACTAATCAGTGATGTTAGAAAAGGGGCACAAGGTGGGGCATGCGAGGTATGGTAGATGTCCCGCTTTGTGATCTGAGGGCTGGTTATGTGGGTAACCTTTGTGAAACTGAATTGAGCTGTACCCAAGATTCATGGCATTTTTTGTATGTTGTGCTTAAAAACATGGAAAAAACTAAACAGCAAACCACCAGACTTATATCAAAGTTATTTTAACTGAATCAGAAAAGGATTATCAGAAAGACAGCTTACAAAAATAAATTATGTGGGAGTGTTTATGCTTTGTTAATGCTGTGTTAAATGACAGCTATCGGCATCCCACCAAAACAGCCACATGCTGTAAGTGCTCCTCCCTTGGTGAAGATGAAGGAAACCCAAGTCAGAGAGGTTAAGGACCTTGTCTAGGGCCACAAGGCCTAGAAAGATGCTCTGATGAGACTCAAATCCAAGTGTCTGTCTCAAGCCCTCTCTGCTCTCTCCGATTCCCTCACTTGAACTTGTAGGTACTCTTTGGCACAACTACACTCTACAGGCAAATGTGCTTCTACCTAAAAGGAACAGAAAAGAGAACATGGCTATGTGTGAGCCAGTGCTTCTGCTGGCAATGAAGACTACTGGGATGCAGCGTTCAAGTCAACACTGGGATAGAAAGACTAGTATCTTTGATGAAATCCCCAAAATAATGGAAGATGAGGGAAGCCCATTTGTTCCATAAGGGCATTGCACTGTTCCTTTCTTCCAGGGGCAGCAAACTTCCCTCTGAGTGCTCACTGGTAGCCTTGCTGACCTGTCTCTAGAACCCCCCTTCTTAACTACTGAAGAGCAAGGAGAGGAAGGGGTTGGGTAAGATAAGATATGGGAAGCTGGGACGCTTCAAATACTTTGGTAAAAATAACTTGCTGCTCACCAGACACTACAGTTGTCAAAATTCTGGTACTTCAGTATCCAAAGGTCATTTGAAAATGACTTCAGAATATTTGGTTAAGAAGAACATATGATGAGCAATATCACAAAGAGAAACCATTTGGAAGGCAAATACATATATTTGTAAACATAGCATTTTATTAACAAAATGTTTACACCTTTCTTACAACAAAACAGTGACTCAGCATGTTATACTCTATAAAAGTGTATTATAGAATATTCAAGCTAAAACAGTATTATTTAAAGGTATGGCAAATCAACTTTCACTTGCAAGCTATCTACTAGGAGCATAGGTATGAAAAGAAAAATCTCACAACAAAAAAACCAAAGGTCTAGTTTTCTTTTGTCAGCATCTACAAACAATGCAGACATCATATGGTTGACATCGACTTAGGTCCAGCCCAAGGTTAAGACTGCAAAAATAAAGTCTTCAAACATCCAGAGAAACTTGGCAAACCGCCGCAGCAGCATTCCATTACAGGTAACCAGGCCACGTGTCATGCAGTGAAGCCAAGGCCATAACTTTGGGCTGTTTCTCATAGTGCTACGAAGCGGCCACAACTGTAAGCAACTGAATTTTACTTTCATAAGAGATGCTATTATAAAAAGGCACAAATATCTTATTCCTTGCATCAGGTCTTGAAAAGGCATGACATTCTTAGGAGAAACAGAGATTGCTGGTGGGATGGCTTAGCTTTTTTTACGTGTAGGCTCAATGCTGTAGCTGTTTTCTTCAAGACTTGATTTGGACTTTTACATACTTAGCAAATGCTCTGTTACAAATTCAGCAAAGTTCTGACCACTTATGTTAACTATCTTATTACCAATGGCAAAGAACAATAACATTTTATCAACTGGTCATATTCCCATAGTAAGATAGTGCTGCCCCTCTCTTTCTGAAGTACTGGAGTTCTTCACCTAAAATTGGCCTTTGGCTTTCTTATTTTATTTATATTCTGGCCGGTTTTCTTTTCTTTCAAAAATTTTAAATTAAGAGTTGTACATGTTTTTGAGGTACCTGTGATAATGGATACCTGTAGCAAATGTCTAGTGGACTGAATCCGGGTAACGGATTTCCTTCACCTCGCCTATCTTCCTTTGCTTTGGGAACATTCTGGTTCTTCTAGCTATTTTCAAATATACAACAAATTATTGCAAAACGTAGTTTCCCTGCTGTAATATCGAATGCTAGAACAATTCCTTCCATCTAACTGTATCTCTGTACCCACTAACCAACTTCTGTTCCCCACAACCCCAGGCCTGTGCATTTCTCACAGTGCTTGTTAGAAGAAGCCCTAGCTGGAGGGGGTGGGCAACCCCTGCTGCTGTGACCACGGAAGGCCGCAGGGAAGGGTGTTATCACATATGCTGAGGAGGGGGCTGGGGCCATGTGTCTCTAAGGGAGAGCCCACAGAAAAATGAGGAGAATGAGTGAAGTAAGGCGAGAAGTCTGCTTCAATCACAGAGACGGTAAGATGTAAATTCTTAAGGTCAGAGGAATGACTGATGATGATGTGAGTGACTCATAAAGTGAAATGATGGAAAGGCTGGACTGCGTAAGAGTTAAAAAAAAATCTTTTCCAGGGCAATTATGCTCTGTCTACACAATACAATAAATGGTTTAAAAATAAAGCTACCTTTCTGAGGAGAAATTCATGCAGAAATTAAAAAATATATATATATATATAGAGCTACCACTCAGGAGGCTGAGGCAGGAGAACTACTTGAACCTGGGAGGCAGAGGTTTCAGTGAGCCAAGATTGCGCCATTGCACTTCAGCCTGGGTGACAGAGAGAAACTCCATCTAAAACAAAAAACAAAACAAAACAAAACAAAACGAGCCACTAATCAGTTGCTCTCACTAGCCAACTGCTGCTAATTCACCCTGCAATGAACTGACCAGTTGCTCTGATGTCACAAGCATGAGCCACGTTAGGACAGTTTCATAAACTCCAATGTCATAACTTCATATACAAAGTATGTGAATATAAACAAATTCAAGTGCTGGCTTCAAAATTTTTCAGGAGTAAAACTGATTATTCAAGTATAAACTTAATTAAAAAGTAATGAGCAAATGATATCAGGATTAAGCCCCAAAGCAAAGTCAAGCACCACCATGGGCATGGGCATGGGCATGGGCATGGACATGAGCCTAGGGACTGCTCATGCCAGTGGACCCCATTCTACTTGAGGGGGCCTGTGAGCTCTACTTGGCCTAGAGGAAGAGGTATGCCCAGCTCTTCTACAACATGATGTTCATGCTGCAGGGGTTTCCTTGACAATTTCAGTTCTAAGTCAAAATCATTGGCCCTCTGTACGAAATGCTATTTTAAGGATAATTTCCTCCACAGGACTGCATTAAACAGTTTCACTAAACAATGAAAAATTCCTCAATCAAGCAAAAGGTGGAATCAGTAAACTGGGATGTTTTGTTTGTTAGATTATTAATGTCCACAGTTTAAAACTTGTAATGTCTTAATGTCAATTAAGAAAAGGTCTTTAGGCTGGGCGCAGTGGCTCAAGCCTGTAATCCCAGCACTTTGGGAGGCCGAGGCGGGTGGATCACGAGGTCAAGAGATCGAGACCATCCTGGTCAACATGGTGAAACCCCATCTCTACTAAAA